CAGATTTCACAGGAACTAACGACATTATTCTTAATGGTTCCTATTCATATGGTTACTGTTCCTTAAAACCGCAGTACAAAAAACGGAGCTGTTTGGGCTATCACAGTAGGGCAGCGCCTTTTATGGCATGCTCAGATGTCATAGGTACATTTTAGGGAAATACCTCAAAAACCAGTTTTTTCGTTCACTGTACCTTTAATGAGCCATGGTTCTGCAATGACGACATGCTCCCTTTAACGAAACACTTAACATGATCGAGTTATAGGAAATTGTGGCCATTCTCCCGTCTACAGAACACTTGGCTGGGTACAAAAACGACTGCAAACAGGTTTCCTACAATTTTCATTGTATTCCATTGGACCAAACATTCTACACAATCCAAACTCTGATATTCTGGATCAATCAGGAATGAATTTACTACCACAGGTTGAGCTTCAGAACTATGCGAAATGGTTATGTCCTGGCCACTTGCCAGGCCGTTCTCCTCCACAACTCGCAAAATGTTAATGTTATTGTAAATTTGTTGTATATGGGCAATGTATTAGGTTTCGAGCACCGGGTCTTCCCCTGCGCTCGTGCGAGCTCCAGATCTGGCAAAACAGTTGCTTATTTAATTATTAATTTTAGCGCACGAAATCCTGCACTCAAGCCGAATTGGTAGAGAAATCATTACGAATTTCCCAGGTAAACGATCAAACATATTTTCATTAAATAAGAAACAGATAAATAAATAGGACATGCAGATTTGCAGAAAAACGGTATAGATGCGGCCGGGATTTTTACTCAGCTACAACTCAGATGTTCACGAAGAAGTAGAGTAGGAGATATATGTTTATCAAGGTAAAAAAGGGACGAGAAAAAAAGTCAACAAATCAGAAACTAATGCCTTCTGGTGTTGACCAATCCCACCTAGTGAATGCGCCCGGCAACCGACTTGAAGAAAGAACGCGAAGAAAAAGGAGATTAGATTGCTTAAAAATCATGAACAGAGCCCTGTAATCGATCCAATGACAGGCTTTTTATAAAGATGAGCATTTGACCCGAATAGTAGCAGGTCTAAATAGTCCCTACAGTCACTTGATCTCCGTCACATGCAACTATATTTCCAGCAGTCCTTACCAGTCACTATATTTCCCAGGACATTCCTTCAATGCGGACATAAATACAAGTCTCACAGCCAAGTTAATACAAAATGGCACAGCTTATTAGGTACCTATCCGTCACGAAAATATTGTCCCTTATATTCGAGATCGTTTGGCTCAACAACTGTTGACTGGAGGCAGCGTAATGTTGTTGTCAACTAACGACTAGTTCTCTCCGATGGTCGACCATCTCTGTTGCATATTTTTAAGCGGAGCATTTCCAGCTGCAAACAGCTGATACCGAATGGACACTGCAGTGCGGTGAAGGTATTCTTCATGAATACACTAGAAACAGAAGCTCTAGCGGAGTGGTACTGTAAAAGCTCGAAACATAAAACAAGTAGAACAGGAACGATAGCTTCTTCCGTGAATAAGGTAATTGCTCTTGATCTTTGGGAAGATCTCCTGACATATATCCGCTCATTGAACTCTTACAGGGTTTCTATAGAAATGAGGAATCAATAGGTTACCTACTTAGGCTTCCTCCTAAAAAGACTAGAACGAAGTTACCACACATTCTAGCCAAACTAATAGTTAGTGGTCAAGCTTTCCATCCTCTGTCACCCTCGTAGAATCCGACTATTATAACGCTAGGCATCTCCGTGGTTGAGAAAGGTTCGCATTCTTAGGATCTTAGTCCGGAAGGATAAAAACACCATCATCACGGGCAGGTCTGACCAATGTCACAAAACTCCATGCAGGCGCTCTCTTACATCAAGTCATAGAGGCAAAGAACCCAAGCTTTCATGAACGACTACACCACCATCTGCGGGAAAATGTCACCTTTTCTGAGCAGCTCAGGCCAAAGGAGGCTACTTCAGTCAAGAGAGGTGCAGAGTTAGAGAACATTCATAGAATAACTCCATGTTTTGAAGTAGTCTGTTTTCATTCTGAAGAATGCACCGGAACGATCAAGTGTTTATCAATCAATCAGAAGAATTCAGTCATTAACTTCATGTAATCAGAGGGGCAGGTTTCCTGTACGCTTCGCTACCCGCGCGTCCACCGCGTACAATTGCGCAAAACGAATGCCACAACCACAGAACGAAAGAGATGACGGCCAATTGAACTTTGCAGTTCCTTCCTTGTCAGTTTCACTTTCTGTCTGAACCATCATCGGTTGCTCCAGTCCTTTTCTCGACTACAATCCCCCCCCCCCCCCAGTTTACCGCTGGTCTACGGCGCATTTTCCGTTGTCGTTTCACTTTAATGGATCGCTTTGTAGATAATTCATCAGTTTATACCCCAACCGATCGATTTCCGAACACTTTCTCTACAAGAATTCAATTGAGGCATTATCGAAAATCAGTGGAAATTTATTTTAAAGTCCAATAAAAAACACTGGGAGCTACCTTTGCCGGCTAACTCCAGCTGAAGAAACTGCGAGCATCCGCTATGCTCACGATCCAATCAATCAACCAATCGATTGATCAATTGCTCCCCCATTTTTTCATTCTTGAAGCGGTTTCTCAACATGAACCCCTACCCGTATCACTTAAACTCTCGCTGCTGATCAAATTATTCGGCCAAACCATTAACGCCGATTTTCGCTAATGCGACTCACTGAAGAAATTCATCTTCAAGTCTTCAGTCCACTCTTTCCGCTCAAGAGACGCTGTTCCTATTGTACCACGTTCGGAACTTTTCCCATAGATTTCCGGAACTTTTCATGAATTTCATTTACTCGGTAATCTATTTGGGATACCCTCTCATCAGCAGGATTTGTCTGGTCAGAGAGAGAGAGACTGTAGGCAGTCGGTCCAAGAAATATTTGAATTGCCTTCTGTTTCTTCCACATTAGAACCTCGGCATTTCAGATAGATTGTTAGTACTACTGTGGCGCTCGAGAATTTTCTCTGTCTCTCTCTTTGCACAGCAACTTAACAACATAAACTTGAAGCTACATTAGAAGAAACTGCCTGGCAGCTTAGGTATGCCTCACCCTGAATGATCCTCTCACGATTGACTGACGGTGACGTCTCTGTGATTCAGTCCATCTGTAACTTGGTGGACGGTCTTACGATCAATATGACCCATGAGGAACCTTTCCTCTATTTTTTTCTTCCCAGCGCTTCCATGAACTTCTGCTCCATTCAAATATTTCGGTGTTACAATAAAACATTTCCGATGTCCTCGAGTCTTTTTATGGTCGCTGCGATAGACAGCGAGTAGGGACGGAATGATCAAGAAAACTTCCTTAGTGGCGTTGTAAACTGGTACCTAAAAAGGAGTACACAGCGCGAACACCAGATTATCGAGCGATTACCCGGGTAAGAGGGAGCCTGGTCATAGAACCTATTGTCAACTCCGGAGTTTTGAGGTTTTGAGTAATTTCCCGAAAGAATTCTCTAGAGACAAAAGGTAACCCAGTGGAAGACTGTGTACGAATATCTCACACTGATTGGCATTCTGTCAACAAAATTCCTTTTTCAATTTGATTACGAGTACTTTTAATAGTTAAGGAACACGTTTCGATTGCCTACCATCGATGTTGTCAGAGGACTTCATCTATAGCACAGCACCATTTATAACAGTCCCTATTTCTTAAAGTTCAATTACCGGGACCGTGCGAGTTGAAGATTTCCTGGTGAAAGGGAGAGCACCAGAAAGTTCCTTTTTTTTTCTTTTTTCTCGTACCTTGACTTACTTCCCATAGCAATGACCCTTTCCAGAAATGACAACTTCAAACATTAACTCCACAATTTCAAACAGCTTAGAAAGTCCCTCATAAGCAGAGGAAAATTTAACAAGTTCAAGGTGGAAGATTGACCAAAATCAGATGAAAGATTAGCTAAAATTAGATGAGAGTTCAACCAAAAATAAATTTAAAACCGAACTTTACTTATTCGGTAAAATCAAGTCAGTAGGATGAAGATCTAGAAATAAAAATTGGATTGACAAAGTTGGATTGGGTAAAATCCTGCTCGACCTTCACTTTTCCTACTGATACTGATCGACGAAAACAGAATCTCGTGAATGGAAGCATTTTTCATCTCTAAGGTGTCGATTGATAGAAAAAGCATTCGCCACTAGAAAATCGTGGAAGGAAGAAAACGATCCCGTTAGGAAGCCAGCACGCTTTCTGCGGGTACTGATATAATAAGGAAGCTTTCGATCTTTGTAGCGACAATTTACTGCCTATATTGAATAACAATGATATTAATTAACCATATTTTATATTAATATTTCGAAAAAATTATATTATTTAACTGTATTTCATTTTCACATCATTTCGCTCTAATCTGTATTATTTTTATAATATATATTATTGTAGTTCACATTATATGATGATCAGAGGTGGTGTTGGAGAAGTGGCGCACCATCACTTCATACCGGATCGATACTCGCCCACCCAACCAAGCCTTCTATCCCTGGCAGATCGCCAATTGGTACTAGACCCGTCGAGATGGAGAAAAACATTTAATCGCACAGGCTGGCCCCTGGAAGTCTTTGAATAGATCGTTCCAATTTAAGGGCACTGTTCATGACGAAAATATTTCTGGATTTCCCCGTAGTATGGATTCGAGGCTCTCCCACTATAACATACCTGCCGTTACAAGGTCAAAAAGCGTCCTGGATAGGGCATAATAAGGGGCCAGAGATTTGGAGATCTTTTTTTTACAAGCTTTTATTTCCTTTTCTATCCTTTCCAAATAACTACGCTCAGGGCCACTTCCCAAGATTGGAAATCCATACTCCTCTGAAACGAAAAAGGTCAAAAAGACTTTCTTCCGTTAAGGCTAGACACTGGTTTGCAAGTAACTCGCTCGTTCTTCAAATGAACTTTGCTCTCGAATGACTCTTCATTTCTGAATGGTCCCTCATTGCAGTACTTATAAATTTACCTTTACCTTTCAGATGATACGGTACCTAGGTATATGTTATCTGATAATGGTCGTCTGTACGGTAGCTGTACTGAAGCGAAGTAAGCCTTGTGTGAATGGTGAACTTGAAAACGATCTGTGCTTCTGCAAGGATGGCTGGACTGGAGCATCCTGCCATCGACGGATGAACTGTGACGGATTCGAAAGGGAGCCAAATGGATCGTAAGTCTCAGAAGACAAGCTATTTTGCGGGCCACTCAACCCAGCAACTACAGTAAAAGGTAGTAAAATGGATGAAGTTAATGGGGGGGGGGGGGGAGGCAAGAATTTGGTCAACGAACGGTTTGAACGGAGTAATGGTCCTCGCTGCATCAACCTATCCGGATTGCCTATCACTTCGAGTAACTCCTGTAACAAATAGTAACAAATAGTAAATATTGAGTATGGTAGTGAACTGTAATAAATACCGTAATTCATCATTTCAGATGTGTTGAATGCCAAGAAGGATGGACTGGAGTGGATTGTGATGCAATCCACTGCAATGGCCATGGCACTCCAAACTATGACTTAACAAGCTGCCATTGCGAAAAACCCTACTCAGGTGAGTTACCTTCTCCAGCTCTTTTGCCCTACCAGTTCCGGACAATGCAAAGTATGGTTACTTCATCGCTATCGTTCAAATTTAGGTGAGAAAAGGTCTAATGGTCTTTTTTTACCCAGCAGAAAACATAAAAAACCTGAAGTATGAATATCCCAGCGAACAAAATCAGTAAAATTCAATTTGCAAAAATTTTGATAAAAAAGTAATCAACATCATTCTGCAAGCGATGATCTGTAAAGAGGTCAAGAAAGGTGCTATCTAAAAAGCTGGCGGCGTCTGCGAAATTCCCTGTGGGACCGCAATACCGTGACCCGCGCCTATGTGCATAATTGCAGCTGGCCTAAATTTTGTTAGATCAGCTGCAACTCTCTTGTGCTTGAGTAATCAAAAGGCTAGAATTCCTATCATGGAAATAGAGATAAGTCCCGTTTCCTCTTGAGCGCGAAATCTATTCTTGCATTGCCGGCAAACTGTTCGAAACCCTGTAGTGAATCTTTTTATAA